CAGACTACCTGACATGACATTAACACCATGCTGCTCACCTTCTTTATGGGGAGACTGGGCTGTTGTTAGCGTCAGATGGCACCGGAGTTCTGCTGGACTACTACTTCAAATTTATGTAAAAACCGGACAAAGCTGGACATTACTTGGAAAAAAGAAAGCGAGGAAGTTGAACTACCTGGTGAATTCAGAAAACGTGCGTCTGTAACTTTATTCCAGCTGTCATTGTACTTTACTGAACAGGTTAGCATAGCACAATCCTGATGGATCCGAACTCCATTCAGAAAACAAACATTTTAAAAGTTGTCGTCCTGCTGACAGACCTGACAAAGCATGAATTCACACGTTTAACAAAACAGCATCATATTGTAGTTATTTCGGCATCAGTTTGATCCGTTATTGCAATTAAATCACAGCAAAAGGTTCAGATAGAAGTAGTATCTGCGGACTGTCTTTAGTCTTTCCTCTCTTTACTTTTTTTCAGTCAGGGGCCCTTGGGGCCCTAACTTTCCCCCCCTGTACGCCGCCCACAGCATTTTCCAGTAAACTCTTCCTCTGTGGTGCTCAGGAGTCCTTCAGCCAGAGTGATTCAACTCTCTGCAGGTGGAGTTTAATGGGGAGATAAGTTAACTGAATTTCTTTTAGTTAACCCTTTACTTCACTACATTTATCTGACAGCTGCAGTTACTTTACAAATTTCAAAATTTTTAAATTAAGATTTTTACTAACAGAACATACGAAGAGTTTATAAAATATGATGTTTTGTTATAAACAGTTTATACAAGTGCAGCTGAAATGATGAGTCAATTAATCAGTTGGTGCACTGACAAAAAAAAGATTGTTCCCCATCTTTCCTTGACTGCCCCGCCCATCTTCACACCTGTTCATGTACTGGCCCTTTGTTTCCTTCACAGTTTCTGTGTTGTGTTTTGTTGATTGTGAACCTGCATGCCTGTTATGCTGTACCTATCTGCACGCTGTGAGTCATCCTCCTTAAGAAAAACTTCCCTCCTGATTATCACAATCAAAGCATTGGGGCATGTACTTACACTGCGGAGGGCACGTACTTAACCTGTTAAAAGTGACAGTTTGACGTGAGATAAAAGTAAAAATCTTTCAAATTGCTGTTAAACTTAAGAAAGCTGCAGAGATCTCTTGACTGATTCTAGATGGCGGCACAGAAACAGAACGCACACTTTTGAGGGATGTTTTTTAAGGATTGTACAAAGTTTTGGTGATTGATAAAACAGCAGAAACTGAAAAGATCATATAAAGCAAAACATTTGTGGTATTTGTATCTTATAATAACAGCATCAAACTCATTTTGATGGTCCGTTGACTTGTAAAAGGGTGAATGGTTTGACGTGAGCTAATGCAGATATCATTAACAGGACATCTTTTCAGCTCTTGCCGAACTGGCCTTCTTTCGGTGCAGTTTTGTTGGCTAGCTAGCTACCAAAGCAAGTTTCAAGCAAGAGCAGAGCCGAAGAGGACATTGACGGAGAAAGCTAAGAAGTTGGAAGTCCAAGAATGTGTGCGACGTCGCAGAGATCTCAGAGTCAGGCTTCATTTAGACTCCAGTGCCTGGTTAGCAGGCCGTGCCTTCTGCCAATGTCAGTGCCAATAAGATAAACAACCTCCTCAGCCAGATGGCTAGTCAGGATTGTTGTGCTGTGTTTCTATGAAACGTGGCTCGCATAGAGGACCCCGATGAAGCCATAACACTGGCAAGATACAGGGTTTTCAGAGGCGACCACGATGCTGTGGAATGGGGTGGTGATGGAACAGTGGATAAGACACATGCCTTTGGTGTGAGAGACCCAGGTGAGACACCAATGTGTCCCTGAGCGAGACACTTAACCCCTAGTTGCTCCAGAGGCGTGCGACCCCTGACATACACTACCGTTCAAAAGTTTGGGGTCACATTGAAATGTCCTTATTTTGAAGGAAAAGCACTGTACTTTTCAATGAAGATAACTTTAAACTAGTCTTAACTTTGAAGAAATACACTCTATACATTGCTAATGTGGTAAATGACTATTCTAGCTGCAAATGTCTGGTTTTTGGTGCAATATCTACATAGGTGTATAGAGGCCCATTTCCAGCAACTATCACTCCAGTGTTCTAATGGTACAATGTGTTTGCTCATTGGCTCAGAAGGCTAATTGATGATTAGAAAACCCTTGTGCAATCATGTTCACACATCTGAAAACAGTTTAGGTCGTTACAGAAGCTACAAAACTGACCTTCCTTTGAGCAGATTGAGTTTCTGGAGCATCACATTTGTGGGGTCAATTAAACGCTCAAAATGGCCAGAAAAACAGAACTTTCATCTGAAACTCGACAGTCTATTCTTGTTCTTAGAAATGAAGGCTATTCCATGCGAGACATTGCTAAGAAATTGAAGATTTCCTACAACGGTGTGTACTACTCCCTTCAGAGGACAGCACAAACAGGCTCTAACCAGAGTAGAAAAAGAAGTGGGAGGCCGCGTTGCACAACTGAGCAAGAAGATAAGTGCATTAGAGTCTCTAGTTTGAGAAACAGACGCCTCACAGGTCCCCAACTGGCATCTTCATTAAATAGTACCCACAAAACACCAATGTCAACATCTACAGTGAAGAGGCGGCTGCGGGATTCTGGGCTTCAGGGCAGAGTGGCAAAGAAAAAGCCATATCTGAGACTGGCCAATAAAAGAAGAAGATTAAGATGGGCAAAAGAACACAGACATTGGACAGAGGAAGACTGGAAAAAAGTGTTGTGGACGGATGAATCCAAGTTTGAGGTGTTTGGATCACAAAGAAGAACGTTTGTGAGACGCAGAACAAATGAAAAGATGCTGGAAGAATGCCTGACGCCATCTGTTAAGCATGGTGGAGGTAATATGATGGTCTGGGGTTGCTTTGGTGCTGGTAAGGTGGGAGATTTGTACAGGGTAAAAGGGATTCTGAATAAGGAAGGCTATCACTCCATTTTGCAACGCCATGCCATACCCAGTGGACAGCGCTTGATTGGAGCCAATTTCATCCTACAACAGGACAATGACCCTAAACACACCTCCAAATTGTGCAAGAACTATTTAGAGCAGAAGCAGGCAGCTGGTATTCTATCGGTAATGGAGTGGCCAGCGCAGTCACCAGATCTGAACCCCATTGAGCTGTTGTGGGAGCAGCTTGACCGTATGGTACGCAAGAAGTGCCCATCCAACCAATCCAACTTGTGGGAGCTGCTTCTGGAAGCGTGGGGTGCAATTTCTCCAGATTACCTCAACAAATTAACAGCTAGAATGCCAAAGGTCTGCAATGCTGTAATTGCTGCAAATGGAGGATTCTTTGACGAAAGCAAAGTTTGATGTAAAAAAGATCTTATTTCAAATACAAATCATTATTTCTAACCTTGTCAATGTCTTGACTCCATTTTCTATTCATTTCACAACGTATGGTGGTGAATAAGTGTGACTTTTCAGGAAAACACAAAATTGTTTGGGTGACCCCAAAGTTTTGAACGGTAGTGTATATAGCAATCGTAAGGATAAAAGCGTCAGCTAAATCAATAAAATGTAAAATGAATGCGGCAAAACCAGAGGGGGAGGAACAGCAACTTCATCAAAAAATCCTAGTATATCGACACTGAGGTAATATCTCACTCATGTTCTGGGGAAGTGGAATATATTAAGGTGCGGACAGTTTTATTGTCTGTGGTGATGTCACAGTGGCTAAGACACATACATTTTGATGTGAGAGACTTGATTCCCACTGTGACACACCCACCAATGTGTCCCTGAGCAAGACACCTAGTTGCTTGCAGTGTGGTCAGGTAACACCACGCAAGCTGAGAGGGAATCTCTTCAATCAGAGAGGCTTATGGGCTCAAACCTCCCCTCTGTCGACAAACTCTGCAGGATAAGAAGCACAGAGCCTTCTCAGGGATCAACAGCACCCAGCTCACTATTTGTTCATGCGGAAGTACTCGAGACACCACAGGCCGGAGAGCAATCATCACTCATAAGGCACGCTTCCGTAACAGTGTTATCCCACCACTGTAAGAATGCTTGCAAAAGATAAGAACGTTGGAATGAAATACCACACGCCTCAACTTACCTCATCAAAAACTGACTCAGATGCCAGTAAAGATTTGTACCTGTGCAGCTGGAAAATAAATCTAATCAAATCTACAAAGATAAGTAGTGTGACCAAGCAAGAGGCCAGCGGATGTTTGTGAGAGCTGGTGAAATAAAAGTTTGCAGGACCAATAACAAGCTGGCGGTCTTTCTTTTGAACTAGAAAGTGATATTGCTATGTTTTGTCTTGTCCCACTTGTTTATTTTTTTTTTTTTACAGGAAAGTCCCATTGAGACTTGCATGCACGCAGATGTGGACTGGGATAAATTTGGATCTTGAGATGCCTTTACTTCTGCATTCTTGGGAATTTTATACAGTACTTAAGGACATGAGGCATTAAAATACATTTTGAAAACTAGAAACACCTATCTATCCTCTTCTCCTGTAAGGTTATCACTTCAGCTGAGCCACTGGGTACAGCAAATATGATCAATCTCATCCCATGTCTCTGGCGCTGAACCTGGGTCTGTGCTGGCTTTGACTCTGTTTTGCTTTTGATCTCTGCGGCTCATGTCAGCGCAGGCGGGCCTACTGTTGTGGGTAGAGAACTAAACATCTTTACTCAAGGAAAAGTAAAATTTCTTCCATATAAAAAAATAACTCAAAAGTATAAAAAAAAAAAAAAAACATTTGACAAAGTAAGTATGAAAATTCTTGGTTAATAAATGAGCTGACTCAAAGTACAGGTTAAAATTTGTTTAATAGTGTTTGGTGTGCGCAGGCCCTTTCTTTATGGAATACCACGTTCCATCTGCTGTGCATCAGTTCATAAATACCACAACAAAGCATTATTTCATGGAGTCTAAATATAAAACGGAATCTGTCAGTTTAGACTTTACAAAAGTGGGATAGTTAAAAAAAAAAGTTTTCATTATATATATTTATGTTGCATCAACACAGCAAAATTTTTTACACATTCAAAAGTCAAAAATCACAAAGTCTGAAGAAAACGTTTCATTTTTACATCCTCAAATATCTCAACAAAAACACAAGCTTACCTTTGAGGAATAATCAGCAGCTACACTCAGTGTCTGCTTTATTCAATACAGGCTGTTCAATCCATTGCAACCACATACTGCACTGAAGATGTCAACCCAATAAAACAGCTCTTACATGAAATTAACTTTTACTGAGCTTACACGTTTTGATTTTATATAAACAGCCACCTGGTCACAACCACTTAGCAAGATGTCCGTGAATGTTCTCAGTCATCCAGGTCATAGTTATCCAACGAAGGTTGAGTTCAAGGGCAACTGGACTTTGTAGAAGAAACTAGAAGAAGACGTTTGGTCCCTCATCCGAGAGACTTCTTCAGTTCTGACTGGCTGTAGGATCGTTAGCTAGGATTGTCGATACCGCTGGTTCGTTAGGGCTTCTGCTGTGGTAACGACAGTCGTTATGGCCGTTAGAGCCAATGAATGACCGTCATTGGCATTTTCACCTGAGGCCAAGAGGAAATGCTTGTTCAGTATCCTGGGAAGTGATGAAAGGACAGGAAGAAGACCAACATTACAGGGGACGAGGAGAGAGGGTCGAGAAGCCGTCACCGAACAGAGGAGGGGGTCTACGCCAACACTTATCCCCCAATTACAATGCGGTCCTTTCATCACTTCCTGGAAACTAAACAAGCCTTTCCTCTTGGCTTCAGGTGAAGATGCCAATGATGGTCGTTCAGACTCGGCCACGGGTGGCTCTAACGACCATGACGACGGTCGTTGCCACAGCCAGGAGCACTAATGAACCAGTGGTATAGACGATCTTAGCTAACGATCCCACAGAGGTTAAATAGCCAGTCAGTCTGAACTGAAGAAGTCTCTTGGATGAGGGACGAAAAGTCTTCTTCTAGTTTCTTCAACCAAGTCCACTTGCCCTCAACCTCCGTTGGATAACCACTTAGCAATTGACAAAGACCTCTGATATCCCAGAACCACCTTCAGAGGTTCTAGTGACTTTTGTCTCATCTGAAAACACGATTTCTTTTTGATTTGCGTAGATTTCACTTCTTGTCCATCTCTCATTAATTTCTCAATGGAAGATTTGCTCACATGCAGTCATGCTTGTGATAGATTAGACTATATTGATCTTGCACCGGGTAGCTTAAATAAGAACATTAAATAAATACACACATAATACACATTAAATAAAAAAAGAAAAATAGGAATAAATATAAAACCTTTTTAGCATGGTGTAGAAATACACCAATAATTGCACAGGACATAGTATACAGCAGAATAATTTATAGGCAGTAAAATAGGGCCACGGATGTGCTGTAGAGACGAGCAACAGCTCCCATCCTTCTGCACCATTTCCTTGATTTCACTGCAGCAGTTGGTTGGTGGATCTTGAAGTTACTCAGTTGTTCATTATCGAGTCAGACGTTTGCTTCTTCCATCATATTTCTACAAGTTGACTTTCTGCAAACAACTGAATGGAATTAAGTGGTCAAATACCTCAAAGTGAAATTCAAAAAATTAAGTAATGCAGCAAACACAAAGCCTTCATTTGATTTGGTTAGATTTTCTGTTTACCAGAATTGATCTATGTCTATTAGTTGTACATGATGTTACACTCTGCTATTGTCTTATTTAGGTCGACATTTTATTAGAGACAGCAGTTACTTTATAACTTAAAGGTTTATTTTAATAATTACTGATTAATTAGATAAATTACAGCTTGTCATGCAGTGCAAAATGATTTAAATGTCAACTTATTATGAAATTCAGGACAGATGATATACTTACTTCGATACGGTTCATACTACCCTGTCTGCCATTCTTCCTCTCTCTCTGTCCAACACACATCATCATCATCATCATCATCAGTACAAACAACATACACAAATAATTATCAAGTGAAGGCAGAATGTCTTTTCTTACCTTTTTACATTTGCAGTACAATAGGCCTACAACAAGGACTGCTGCTAGAACTACAAACAAAATGGCTCCAACCGCCACACCTACAATAACACGTGTGACACCGGTTTGACTCCCTGAAACAGAAAAAGATTCAGTTTATTGAAATTTCTACTAACCAAACTTCCACGAGTGGACTGACTGATAATTCCTGTAGCATCAACACGTGAGGTTGCAGTCTGTTAATAATGCTCAATAATGTTCATGTTGCCAGGTGGGAATCACACCTTCAGTGTTAGTTTGAAGAACTTTTAGAGCGTTATTAACTGTGTTCACTTTTCCATCTCACAGAGCAGATATGTTTTCTCTGCTTTAGATGATCATTCTGATGTTTGAAGCAGTTCCACTATTAAACAAGCAAGTTATCTTACCTTCCTCTATCCTCAGCAGGATGTGGGTTATGTTTGTCTCCTCGTCATCGCTGAGTTCACAGGTGTATATCCCCTCCTGTTTCAAAGACAAGTCTTGTAGTGTGAGGCTGCCTGACTCAGACACACCCTTCACCTGCTGCCTCCACTCCTCTGAGACTGTGTAAGGGACGCTGGTCCTGGTCCGGTTCAGGATGATCTGACTGTGGTTGAATCTCCAGACGAGGCTGAAGTTCAGAAGGGAAGTGTTTGAGGCAGAGCAGGGGATTGTTGTGTCAGAGCTGGAACCACCGAGAGAAGCTGAAAATATACAACACAAAACAAATCAAACACCTGTTAATCAAATGATGTAGAAACACAAACTGAGATACTGTCAGATAAGATGGGCAGTGGGGTATTTGTTTGCTAAATAACAGAATTAAGTTGGTCCTGTTTGCTTTCCGTTTGTAAGTTATATCTGAAAACATAACACATTTCAGTGTAGTGTTTGGAAAGTTACTTTGTGGAAAAGTGGCAAGTGATTTCTGGTGTTGTAAAACCAGACGTCCTTAAACCATCCATCCATCTTCATCGCGGGGGCAGCAGCTCCAGCAGGGGACCCCAAACTTCTCTTTCCCGAGCCACATTAACCAGCTCTGACTGGGGGATCCCGAGGCGTTCCCAGGCCAGTGTGGAGATATAATCTCTCCACCTAGTCCTGGGTCTTCTTGGGTAGGTCTCTGTTCACTATTACAATCATTAAAAAGCAGAACAGTAGGGCTTTATAACGTTACATTCAGGAGGAAGTTAGCTTGCGTTAGCTAACTAACATCACATTAGGAACAATCCGCAGCCTCTCTGGGTAGTGATTTACAGCTTTTGACCATGAAAGTGTCAGACCTCTGTTAGAGCAAAACCTATCCTGTGCTGTGATTGGCCAGCTGCGTATTCGCGGCGTGGCTTAGCGAAGGGTCAATTAAGTGCTGATATCAACCAGGTATATTGATTTAGTTGATTAGACGTAATAACAATGTGCTGTTTTTTTTTATTTGACCTGCCAAGGGACTACAGAGGGGAATTAGCATAAAGGTTTAATCTGGTACGGTTCATCAAATAGTAATACTCACTCAGTTCCCTCAAAGTGGCTCTCCTCCTGTTCCTGCGAGTGCTGACGGTGCAGCTGTAGACCAGATCAGTAACCCTGTCTGAAAGTATCAGAGAGCTGTAGATGTTGTAGAGCAGCTGTTCAGTCTGCTGGACTCTGGTTGTGTTCTTGAAGGCCACGTTGGACGGAGGTCTGGTGGACCAGGTGAGTTCAGGCTCAGGGTAGATCCCCTCTGAGCTGCAGGTGATCCTGTTTTCTTCCTGCTCCATGTGGACTTTATGGACCGGAGCTGCAAAAACAGAGATCTTGATGCTGTGTGTACAAATGAATTCACTAATAGTTTTAGGAAAAAGATTTACTTTTAATCACAAATTTGACAGAACAAATGCTGAAATTAAATATTAACTGCACATGAAGAAAACACAAGTTGATGGTTTTGTGTATTTACTGTGTGTTTCTCGTACCGTCCACTTGTAGGTTGATAAATGACGCCTTGTTGCCTCTGATGATGCTGGTGTAGCACTTGTATCTGCACTGATCCTGAACCTGGACCCCAGTCAGCTGGAGCGAGGCGTTTCCTCCAGAGATCTGGTCCTTGAACAGTGATGTCCTGCCTCTGAAGGCTGGCCTGGTGTCCCAGCTGGTCTGGTTGTTATAGTAGGAGTGGACAGGAGTTTCCTGCTGTCACCCGAGTCCAGTGGATGACTGCATCAGTGCCGCCCTGGAAGCTGCACGGTAAGATGCAGCTCTCCATAAAAACACAGAACACCTCAGCATCTGCAACACATCAGGTACGAACAAATCTTTACTTCCAAGTTAGGAAACAATAAGTTAATGAAGGCTTTTTTCACTTACACGATGATACATAGGGTCAGTTGTTCACTGTTCGAACTCTCCTGTACCCCCCTTGGGGACTCCCCACCACTCCTTTAGAGCCGGAGAAGCCCCTTGGATAAGAGGCGAAACATCTTCAAGTATTTTCAACCAAGTCCAGCTACCCCAATCAAGTTAGTTACCCTTCTTGGGTAAGTAAAGTGTATTTTCATTTACACACAAGCCAAACAATGTTCAATAGATCATTTAACTGTAATGTTATTTACAACCACAGCATCATCTTTTATGCTAAAACCTCTCAAAATCCCTCTGACTCAATGAGTCTCCAAAATATTGTGATTAGTCATTTTCAGTTAAAGGTTTATGAATGTCCCATCATAACTCCATTACACTATAACAGACAGTATAACCAATATGATAAATGTTGTCAAACATGTTACTGAGGTGTCAGCCCTGTATAATATAATATTACTTGTATAATATTCAAATATAATTCTAAAAATAAAAATGTAAAATCAACTAATTTTATATACTAAGTAAAAGAAAATTGGGTTATTATGATTTATTTGCATAACTTTTTCTTAAACAGAAGATTTTGCCAATTGAAGTGTAAATTTTAAATGAACATGTTCATCCATAGAAAAAAGTAAACTGGTCAAAATTCTTAGGGTAACAAAGGGGATGTTATCTTTCATAGTATATTAGCTTTGTTCTAAATTTAAAACCTTTTCAAACAGTAATTGATATGTCTGGAACAGGGCTGACGAAACATACATACATGCATGTTAAAAAAACAGATAGCCTAAGAGAGCATGGCTCATTTTTCTGAGAGATAAGACTTTACTTTATCCAAAAAGGGGCCCAAAGATTATTTTTCCTTTAATGAGTACATGCAGTAGTTTTGTTTTGCACGCCCCTCAGCTCCTCTTTCATGGCTTGTTCAGTATATTTATTTCTTCTCTAACGCGGTATTAAGGCTCCGGGTGCTCTTACCTCAGTCGCATGTCTGTATCTTTAAAACAAACACTTCACTCACCTTTTTCTGCAGAAGCTAACATCCAGAGAAAGTTCCAGACCACGAGACAGGCAGCACGGCCGACCACCTTCATCCTCTGAATTCATCTGTTCTGTTCTTCTTCACATTGAAACAGGAACTGGCCTGCTCTCTGTACCTGCCTGTACCTGCCTGTTACCTGTACCTGCCTGAACCCTCAACCTGTGCGTAAGCTCTTCTTAAAGTGTTTTACAAATAAAAGTACTATTATTATGCAACTCATCCTGCTGCTTCGTCTGCATTTAGTTAAACAATCACTTCATTTATGGAGAAAATAATCTGCAGATTGATCCAGAATGAAAATAATCAGTAGCTGCAGTAGCCTGGGTTTCAGTATTTCTTTATTAGCGTGACGTTGCTGCAACAGACCCTGTGAACTGTGAACTTGTGAAAGAAAAGGCAGAAAGACTGTCAGCAGCACTTTATTAAAAACACAAGGTTTCAGCCACAGCCCATCATCAGACATCAAATATAATGTGAAACAACAGATCTTTATACTAAAGACACAAACACCTGAGACAAAACCTAGATAAACTACTGATAGAAAAAAGAGATTTAATATAATCTTTTCTCTCTGTTGTGTCTCTGGTTGCGAAACATTGAGCTGTTTTGGCATTGTGAATGTGATGCCAGGTGAACAAGATAATGTTTTAAAAGAAAGTTAAACTGCACAATCTCTGTGTGTGATTCATTTGTCGGGGTTTGATTTCAAGGCAGTCTACAGTAGCCTATCATGCATCAGCACATTCTGTTTATCTGGGCTGTAGTCTGAGTTAACAGGCTGTGACATGTACAAATATTACCTGCAGTTTTTGTGTGGAAAGATTACTAAAATATCAAGCTATTTCCAAGACTTATTCTCACGACATGTGAGACCCCTGCTGTGTTTTATTTTTATACAATAACTCACTGACGTTGGCATAATTAATCAAGACAGTAACCAATCACATCCTTTGTATCAAATGAAGAGAACCACGTGACCGATGACTTAATAAAGCAGCTTCATTTACACATCCACAGTGCAGCACCGGGCCTCAACTACACCAAAAAAAGTACAGTGATACTTCATATCAGAAAAATAATTCAGTATCTAAGCAAGGCAGCACATTTCAAACACAGAGGCAATTCAAAGTCTTTTAGATGAGGAGAGAAAACGTGACATTTAAAAACAATAAGCAATAAAAACTGAATGAAACCAACTGAGATACAATATAATGAGATCAAATTAAACAAAATACAAATGGAACAGACCAGAATAGGGAGAACGGGGTGATCTGAGCCTGCGGGGAAGTTGAGCCACCCCTTGTTTCTCGGCAACCGTGGACAAAATTGGTCATGTGACCACACATTTTTGAAGAGTCATCCATTTTACTCTCCCTGTGACGGAGAGAGGTATATGGAATAAGTGATAAGCACATTTAAGATCAAAAAACAGTTGTTTTTTTTTATGATTAAGAAAATGTTACGCCTCTGTTAGAGCTTTAGGAAGTTACAATATGAGGCTATACTGTTACCCTTAAACTGCTGGATGACACAAGTTTGTTAAAATGGTCATTTGAGCCAAAAGGGGGGAAGTTGAGACGACTATATTACTGTAATTTTACATTGCATTCTTATGCATCAGCGAAATGATGTGACATTATGCATTTTAGACCAGAAACCACCAAGTCATGCTTCTGTAAATGGAAGACAGACAGGCTTCAACTCCTATTGTGGGTTTGGACAGAGCAGTGGGAGGGGTACGAAAATGCCATTGACTTATTCTCTCCCTTGGCTCAACTTACCCCTCATATGGGGCAAGTGTTTTTTCGGAAAGCCTAATGAAATGGAAACAGTTTATTTTAGATCCAAAGTGATTATTCTCAGGGATGCACCGCATTCTGTCATGTCCTCACTTTAAAGCCACATCAAGTAAAAACTGGCTCAACTCACCCGCTCTCCCCTACAGTGCAGTTGTGAGTTACCCAAAATCAAAAAAGGAAATAAACGTGCTGTACAATAACAGATTATGTTACAGCAGAATAACATTTAATGCAGCTCTTCTGACCAGAAGTGTTACAAATCTAATAATAACTTTCAGGCTTCTTGGACTCTTTTTTTGCTCATGTGAGACTAAAATGATTAAAATCAGAGGTGTGTTGGTGCTTCTACTTCAGGCTGCAGTAAGTTTTACAAACCACCAGATGTCACCGTGCTGCTGGGTTTGAAGCAGGTTGCAATGTTTCTATTCTAAATGTCCTGGTGTAATATTATATGTCATTGGATGTAGTCCTGGCTGCTGCCTCCTTTCACGTCCAGTGGAGGAATGAAACTGAGCACATTTACTTAAGTACAATTTTGAGGTACTTTTGCTTTTTGAATGCTACTTATACTTCACAGAGTGATTTTTACTCCACTATATTTATCAGACAGCCGGAATTATCATATATGATGCATCTGTTTCTTCTTATCCAGTAATTTTAGTCTAGAATTGAACAAATGTACTTAGTTACATTCCACCTAGTTCCACAAGTTTTCTATCCAAATAACTTTCTGAAATCAAGCTTCCTTTTTCTTAATCCTAGAATCACAACACGCCTCATACTACTTGTATTAACAAACATTAGATAGTCGCTGATTGGCGCTGATTACCAGGTTTGATTAACACGATGGATGTGCAGTCAAGCACAATGAGACGCTAGAGTCCACTTTGATATGGTTTATTGCAGACAGGCTGGTGGTAGGCGTCAATGCTGATTTATATATTTTCACTCAGACAACTGTGATGTGGGTATTGTTGGAGTAATGTTACCATTTTATGCTACATTATACTTTATACATTAGTTACTAGTGACTTTGTAAATTCAGGTTATTAATCCATAATAAAAATCAATTAATAAAATATGATAGATTTTAGAGATTCAGCTGCAGTATTATTAAAGTAGTTAATTAGCTCCACCTTTGCCAGCTACAACATTATTGATGCTTACACATTAATGCATCACTTATTATCATCTAATAAATAAATTCTGAAATGGGAATCCTGCACAATGAGTACTTTTACTTTTTTGTAATAATACGTATAGTTTCAATGCAATTATATGTAACACAGTATTTTCGCACTGTGGTGTTGCACTGATTTATGACCTTCACAGGATTTTCCAGTAATTTCTTCCTCTGTGGTGCTCAGGAGTCCTCCAGCTTCATCTCTCTGCTGGTGGAGTTTAATTGGGAGATAAGTGAACTGAATATTGTGCACCTTCAGCTTCTCTGTGTCTCTCCACGTCTCTTTTTATTTCCCCGCCTGGACGTTTTGCTCATTATTCTCCTGCTCTCAAGTAACTATCATCACCTGTTCTGTTTACTGTCGTTTGATTTATTAGTTTTCTGCCATTATCCAGTGTTTTTATAATGTTGTGCCTAAAAATAAAATCATTATTACCTTCATAATGTGAGCTGAAGATTGTTACTCTCTTCACTGATCTGCAGCAGGAGCATCCGTTCTGTGTTTAGCAGGAGCAAACCGCCGTCCAGGGAGCCGTTTCATCTCATGAAGTCAGTCAGTGCAGCAGCACAACATCCTGCAGCTGTATTTATTGTTGACAGGTGATGAAACTTTTATGTTGGAGTGGGCTAAAGCACCGAACCTCTCAGGATCTGATAAAAGCCTCTCTGTCCTGCACTGGGAAAAACTGATGTAATTTAAACCACTTGCACGTGACAAGCACTTTGGGATAAAATATTTCTACAGCTGGACGTCTGTGTGAAATAAAGTTTTAATAACAAGTGAGTGCACATGAAGATCCAGTCTGAAACACACATCCAAGGGATTTTTTCAGTGTGTTAAAGGTTTATTTTGTCACATTATTCCAGTGACAAGTTCCCCTATTTAGCATTTAAAAGCACCATATAGGCCTAAACATTTAATAAATTGTTTATAACACACTATGATGAAGTTATAAGAAGATAAAAACATTTAAGTGTCCAGCTGAGACATTTAAGATCAGTTTGTTCCTTTCATCTGCAGATCTCGAGAAGGTCATCAAAGATTTTGCAAAATACTTTCTTCTGGTATCAGCAGGCGAAACGTTGATGGTATTCTGCATTCTAGTGTACAGGATAGGCAAATATCAGCCTCGGGCTTCAGCCTATTCCTTTGTTT